ACAGAACTTCCTGGAGCTTTTTCCGATAAAAAACTCTTTTCCTTTTCCTGGAGTGCTTTGGGCTCATGACTTCGGCATTTCCCTCAACGGAAAATTTGTTATTTGTCTGTTTGGTAATTTCTTTGTTTATATGGGGTGTGATTTTGCTGTGCTTAGAAGGGACCGCAATCGTATGCGTAAACTGACTTGTGTTTTTCTCCAATATATGGACTCTTTTTTCTAGTTCGTCACAACCCACACAATGACGTTTATCGTTGTCTTGTGCCAGTAAACTGGACTTTGTTTCCTTTTTACGTACTGGAATCCACTACAGGTGACAGGTCACACACCACGCAGTTAAGGCTTCTTAACTGCGCACGTTCACGGACATAACTGACACTAGAACACCCCACAGCAGCTAGTGCGTACACTTTCTCATGGTAAAAGCTGTATCGAGGATGGTAAAGGCTAATTGAATTAACCCTAATGGCTGCAATCTCTCAAGCACTCTCCCTTAGGAGAAGCTAGAGGTCTTCAAAAGGTCAGAGTAGTCGGAATAGTATATTCCGTACAGAGAGATGGAAGGATATGTAGTAGGTGATTTGACTGCCGGAACACACGTCCAACCACGAGGCGGGCTATGTCCGAAGTAATGTCTGGGGGCAGACAAGGCATTGAGGTTTGTGTCCAGATGGATTGAAACCAACCTACTAAATGACGTTAGTATACTAACGTGGGAATCTCATTGGACTCATTGTGATCAAGCCACCGTGGATTGAGGCCAGGACGGGTGATGAAAGCTGCGCACGTTTGCGCTTGGTCCAAGGCACGCCGAAAACTGCTTTCGTGTGAGGTCCTATGCTCTGAGTAACCTGGTCTGTGGCGTCACAAGCCAGGAGAGCGTCGGGCTGCATACACTACAGCTGGTCCAACGTACTCTGTCTTCCCGAATTTTGATTTAGGAAAAAATTGCGTTGTCGACACACCACCACCGGCAGATTATTGCGTACATGAAAAGTGTCTCCGAGGGGGTTGCTAGAGTAATCACGCTTCTTGGAATAGAATTTTCCCGCAGGCCCACCGTTACAATCGGGTAACAAGGGATGGGACCGAAAGATCTATTTCCTAAGCAAAATAAGTCAGCCGTTGTCTACCGATTTTAGCGCAGTTGCGGGATTTGCAACTATGCCGAAGAAATCGGCCGACAGCTACAAACGCAAATGCATAAGTACGAGTTAGCTAAAAAAGAGGCTAGATCCAAAGTCGGATGTAGCAACTTATGCTGCCGAGATGAGGCACGTCTTCGACTTCGACGCTGATTAACTTGTGGACAGATATGACGAGCATACATCTACGTAGATTAAGGAAGCCTGTATGTTGACCCACCGTTCAGTAAACCACCACTTCAGTTTGCATACTCCTATCCGATTTTACGGACCGTCTTATCTGAAGATCGTCACAGTGTAACTAATCGAGGCCGCCAACTATCTCTGTGGCTAAATTTAATGGGGTCAAACAAGCAATGGCGACACAGTTGAGAGCGAGGTGAGAGGCATTCACAGCGACACAGCTGTTAGGCTACTCACGCGGAAAAGGGCAGCATATAAAGGGAGCCTTCAGCCTTAATATTCAGCCTCTAAAGATCAATGGAAGACAGAGCCATCCAAAGCATCAGATATCTACTAAATCCCTCCTGGTGAACTCTCCTCCTTAGGTATTTATCGTATGCTTTCCTTCCCGTTTTTGAATAGTGCCGACCATTCTTTCGCTGAATGAACGAGTGCAACCGTTCAAAAGTTGAAGATATCCATAGACATTTTTAGAAGAAAAGTCATCTATCCAACATCCTACTCAAGTAAATGCCAAGTAAAGAGACTAAAATTGCTACGGGTTCGGAGACTGGAAGCGTTAATACCAATTAAAACCCCCGGATTTCAGTTCTTACTCCCGTTAGTCGTACATGTAATCTACGTAATTCCTCACTGATTTCCCTCGCATCATCCACTTCTTAAAGCTCTGTATTCTCACGTATGGCTTTCTTTGGAATGACAACCCAATCGATATTAGTTTTTTAACTAGTCTATCAAGCAAAGACTATGCATTTATCTTAATATTTACTCGTTTAGACTTTTATTCCCCGTATTATTTTTGAGCAGGTCTTTGCACGACCCCGAGAAAAGGATTATCGGGATTTTATGAAACGCATCTAAGTTACACTTCGTCTATCGTCTCTCCTACAAATCAGAATTTCCTCATAACATACATTCAGTCATACTGACGCGTGTGGTTTAAACCACCCCCATTTCGTTTGCTGCTAGCCATAAGCAAACTT